ACGTAGAAGCCCAGGTGGTGTTGGAGGGAGAGGATTTTCTTAAATGCTTTTGTCTCCCTTCACTTTTACCAATTCCTCCTGCTCTCTTCAAGTCTAATTTCCATCTTTGGGGAAAGATATAGCAAATCTGCTTGTATCCATGCTGTTACCTCAGTCAGTGACTAGGATAATAATCAAGACTGTAATTCAGCTTAAAGGATCTGTAGGTCTGTGCAGTGATAATGCTGTGCTGCAAAATGTTTATCCGTAGTGGCAGACTAAGCTCACTATTACTGAGAGCTCCAGCTTCTGCTGTATGTTGTTTCTTTAGTTGTAAATACCTGCTGATAGAGTCCAGCGTGCTGTCTGTCTTTTAAAACTGTATTGTCGTCTTTTGGCTCCTGTGGTACCTCATGAAAAAGAATTTAAAATTACTGTTTCTTAAGTAACTTGTTACTCTTTTCAAGAAATGTGTAATGCCACCTTTCAGTTAAAATGCAGGGCAAATATCTAAAATAATGTAGGGTGTGTTCATAAAAATTGGGCTCCACAGCATAAAGCTAGTGTTTGAAAATGTTTTTCTTCTCCTTCCCCCATATTGTTAGCATGGCTAGGAGACATGAAGATAAGCTTCGATACAACATCGTAATATCGTTTGATATATTTTTGTTAGTGTTAATGCTTTGATCTTTATCTGAAATTGGCCAAAATCTTATTTTTATAGTACTCAGTCTTCCTTTTCTTTTGCCCTTTGCTCATTGCTACTTACTTTACAGTTAGAAATTTGGATGTGGTTTTTTTGAGTGCATAACAGAGTTAAAGTACAGGGGCTGACTTACTATGGAACAGCTTGTACTGCTAAGTCATATTGGCACATTTATCATTCAGTTATTAAGAATATACTTTTAAGGCTTTATTATCTTTACTTCAGTAACATGTGACATGTTGTACCACATTTCTCTGCATTTCACCACTAAGTATGAGGGTAACATTTTGTGTCTGATCTTGGTTTTATGAAGTCAATGAGCCTTTAGCTGTAAATGAAGTCAATTCAGACTCAAGTTCTTAATGAACGTCCATTAATTATGTTCTGGAATGTGATACACTTGAGCTAGTGGCAGTATTCTCTTACTGTCTCTCATGACTTGCTTTAGAAATCACTGTAACCTATATGTAAGTAGAGCGCATTTATAAAGATGTCTGAAAGTGAAGCTATACCGAGAACTATGACTATTTGATGACATAGCTTTACCACAAGAATATGCCATGTGGTATAAATCTGGCTGGTTCTTTTTTTGATAATTTGTTTTTAAATCATAGAACAAGCAATCTGTCTAGACTGGTAACATGTGACTGGTAACGTTTTCCTGCTAATACTAAGGAAATAGGGGTCATCTATGAAAATAGAACAGTTTGTGGCCATGTTTCTTTTAAATGCGTGTGTTAAGCCTGCAGATTTGGAACACATTGTTATTTCACTAATATACGGGAAGTTACAATACAAAAATCCCTTGTTGACCTTCTTAAATTAATCTCTCCAGCATTAGTTATTTCCTTATTTTCAGTGGGAAGACAGCAGAGTTTAAACGTGTACAGCATGTTTAAGTGGCGAGATTGGTGCAGTCTAAACTAGAATCAAATCGTCTTAATACAAAGGAAAGGTATTTCTGCTTTGGGGTGCTGCTGTGTATATTTGCCATATATATGTATGTGCAACTGACTGCTGAGAAAACTGCTGTGCAATAAGATACTAGCCCTAGATTTAACCCTCTGGAGTTTTTGCTGGTGTTTGAAGCCAAGCTTTCAGATCTTGGGAATTCTGTCTTTATTTTGTTTTAGGAAGGCTGCTTACTTTCCTCAACCATTTTCCAAGCTGTTTGTCTCTGTAGAAATCCTTTGAAATGGTATATAAGCGCACATGCTCTCTGTACTTACATATAACATTGCCTTTTTTTTCTCATAATCTTACAAGTCTAACAGCTTGCATTTGCTTCCTGATGATATTCAAAGGTAACCGTTTTAATCTGAGCTGTAACTGGTGCTGTGATATGTTTCAAGCAAAAAAATGTATCAAAGCACTGAACAAGGATTAAGATTTTTATTTTTTTTTAGTTGTTGTTTTCAGTTTGCTTTTTTCATTGCCACTGGGTCCTATGCTTCAGTCTAACAAAATTTCAAATTCAGATGAGGAAATTAGATCCGCATAACCATTACATGTCTGTTGCGATCAGTGCATTTCTTTGTGGCATGACAAAAGGCCTTGGCTTTTAATTGTGTTGTGAATCATAATCTCACGGTCTGTAACTATAAGCAGAGCTTGAAAATTTCATATCGTAGTGGATAGTGAGTAGGAAGCTTTCAAAAGATGTGCCTTTGTTTCTGCAGAATGTAAGCTTCAATAAATGTAGTATAGACTCCCAGTTAAATTCAGTATTTGCCAGTTCATAGGTAAACTATGAAGATAGCTTATCCACAGCAAGACAGTTTCTTGTTGAATGGTATTTCTCTTTGAACTAACACGTCTAGTGGTTGCTTCACAGACAAAAAATGCAGTGAAATGTGGTGTGTATGTATGTATTACTTTTAAATAGTTCTACAGACTGAAGATAAGGTGGTGAAATTCAGAATCACCTTGTATTGGCCAAATTTGTATTGATGCATACCAATGCACTGCAGCCTTCAGTGCACAGAAGCTGTATTGTTACTGCTGGAACAGAGACTTTTTTTTTTTAATTCAGTTTTGCATGGTGCCCAACATAATGGGGTCCTAAAGCTTTAGCTGCTTTGGTAATACAAATAATAATTCTTGCTCAATGTACAATAACTTTGTGAGAGACCTATAAAAGCTCTGCACTTTTTTTACTGTATTTTCCAATATTGAAAATGAGTTAAATCTAAATGAAAGGGCAGAATTATTTTGAAAACCATTTTTAAATCAACAGCAAAATACCAACTTGTTTCTCTGTAAAAATATACTCACATAAACAGTCTTTAAAAGTCAGTTTTAAAGTTTCCATGGAGACCTAAGCTGCAGAAGTTGGCTGTATCATAAAACATGAATGTTTCTGAGAAAATAGGATTTTCATGCACTTTGGGGTATTTGAGTTCAACTCTACTATTCTTAGGTTCTGCCTTTTATGCTGTCTGATAAAAAAGCTGCATAGCTGAGGATTGCACAAATGTTTTCAAATAATCGCAATGAAAAAGTCTTAAGTGTTTGTAGGTTCAGCCTGGATAGCTGGCACATAAAAAAAAGAGACATAGCTCTTAAGAAATGTGCTCTTCAGTGTAACAACATCCTGGGCTGTGTCAACAAGAACTTAGCCAGTTGCTTAAGGGAAGCGATCATCCCCTTCTGCTCAGCGTTCGTTAGACCACGCCAGTTTTGGGTCCTCCAGTACAAGACCGGTATTAATGAACTGAAGTGAGTTCAGCAGAAGGCCTCACATTGATTGCGGGCAGGAGCTCCCGCCCTGGGAGGTGAGGCTGAGGCAGTGGGGCTTATTCAGGCTGGAGAAGAAGCTGTTTTGAGGGTAGCTAAGTCACCTGCCTGTACCTACAAGAAGATCAATGACAATGGTGCATGGTGGGATAATGAGAGGCAAGGGATATAAATTGAACCAAGAGAAGGTCCATCTGGATATAAGCAAAAAATTGAGGACAGGCAGACACTGGAATGGGTTTTCCAGAGTGGCTGTGTGGTCTCCGTAACTGAAGGTTTTCAAGACCCAACTGGCTAAAGCTCTGAGCAAGCTAATCTGACCTTATAGCTAACTCTGCTTTGAGCAGGAGGTTGGACTTAGAGGCCTTTTGAGGTCCCTTTCAATGTGAATGACTGATTCTGTGAATCATCGATCCAGATTTTCTACAAGGCAAATGCTGGTGCAATAAAAATTTAATTAGTCTCTATTGAGTTGGATCTTATCCAACATATTCCTAGTGATTTTCCAGCTGCATTTTGAAAAGCTGTGGATGATATAGGCCAGTGGTAAACCATCTTTAGCCTCTGGGATAAGCAGAAGAGGTGGATACAGCTGAGAAAAACCTAGTTGCACTTTGGAAATTTTGGTTTTGATTTGAGCATTACAGGTCATCTAGACTCATACGTCTGGCCAGCTGGGGCTGGGGGGTGGAGGGTGAAGAGAAACATATATAACACTTTTGACTTCGTTGCTTTTCCCATCTTCCACATCTCTCACTGCAGAAATATGATTGTTACATTTCCTATGAGGCTGTATCTTGGAGAAAATTATTTCCGAAGCATGGAAAGTTTGGTTTTTCATGAACTTCCCATGCATGAATTGCCAAATTTGCTCAGAGATTATCCATAATGGACCTACTATCAAATAGGAACGTTTCAAAAAGTAGGTTTTTTTTCAGTGGGGTCTTATGCCCTCTTCTGTTATGAAATAAGAATTCTCTGCATCTCCCTGCTAGCGGTATTAGTACTTATATCAGCTGCAGCATTTAACACCCCACAGTAGATTGCAAAACAGAATTCTGAAAATGAAATTTACCCTGCTGGAACTTCTGAGACTTATAAGACTGCTAAAATCGGTGTACTCTAGTGAGAGATTTTGATTGAGTTAAGTAAGAAAAATGTCCCCTAGGATCATCTTCCTATCTATGAAAAAGAATATTGGTTGAATACGAGCGTTGCAATGTTGACATTTGTTTAGCAAGAATCAATACCAACATACTAGACATTTAATTTCAGTTCTAGGATAAATGGATTTTATTGTTTGTGTTTCTCTGTGTACTAGGATATACAATATCATTCTTTCAAATGACAGTCAGTCTTCAATTTTGTATTGAGTTTTCGGTAATTTTGTTAGATGATTAAGTAAATCCACCCTTCACTAGTCTCTCCCTTTTTTTTATTGATACGGCTGAGACTTTTAGAAAGAAATTATTTCATTCTTTTATATCTTGAGGAAGGTTGCATCTGGAAATAAGATCAAAATTAGGTCTACTTTGCTGTAGTGTTGTTCAACATATCTGTCATATTTGTTTTCTTACAGTGAAAGATTTTTTTTAAGACTGAATAGAAATGGTTTGCCAAAATGTCCAGAAAAGCCTGAAAGGCACTGTTCTCTCTTTGTGGTGAGTGCTTCCTATTCTCAATCTTTGTTGTGCTGAGTATTGAAAATAGAAGTTGGATTAAATTACTATTGCGTGGTTGTCTCAGAACTGCTCCCTAAGCTTTTACATTGTTATGAATATCAACTCTAAAGGCTGGTTAAAGTGTATTGCTGAACTCCCAAGTTGAATGTTTTCTGGCAATATGTGGACACTCATCTAACTCATCTAACACTCATCAACTACATATGTGGGCACATGTACCAGTCTTTCTCCCTGCAACAAGGATCATTTAGTTTTCCTCCTTGTGCATTTTACACCCAAAAGATTGTTTGTGCAGCACTCTCTGTACTTTCAGAATATTAGGAATTGCACAAATGCATCACTGCTGTTCAAGGCACACAGCGAGTCTCTTGTGTCCTCCCACTGATTTTGCTGCGTTACAGCATATTCTACCCCATGATATTTTAGAACAGTCATTTTGAGTGCCAATTTAAAGTATTAAAGGGATAATTTGTTAATGTTGTATAAATTAACTCACTGTTCATTTATCACTTTCACTGATGGTGAAAGCAGTGTGTAAAGATCTCTTTAAATGTCACATTTGAATCAGAGTCAGAAATAATGAGGTTCTGATCTTGCGCAGGATTTGGGCAGCAGTGAACTCAGGAAGGACATCTATATCACTGTGCACATTATCCGAATAGGTAGGTATAATCGTCTGTGAGTAGAAATCTTACATGTGTTAGACATATGACAGTAAATAAAAGAAAACTACTTGGAGTCAGCTTTGGGATTCGTTGGATTTGAATAATTTTTGGAAAAGGAAATGCCTGTTTTTTGATGGAAAAATTGCTTTGGATTTCTCAGCGTTGTTTTGTGTGATTTTTCAAGTGTATTGCTAAATGAGTTTAGATGCAGGATATTTTGTTACTATCACAAAATAAAATGAAAGTGTGAAATACGAACTGTCTTAAGATGATGGAGGTGTCATTTGGGAGACCATTTTTGTTTCAGAGAGAGTAATTTCAATCATCCCTTGTTCATAGGAAAACTTACCTGAAAATTTAATGTACCTAATTAGTATATAATATCTGATGTATATCTGAACTTTTTCAGATGAATTTTGTCTTCTCCCTGACCCTCTTAAAAAGGGGGAGAGGGAAGGAAGTGGAGCAAGTCTCATAATAATTTTAATCTGTGATGCTATAGACAGATATGAAGTCCTCTAGAACAAAGTGGAAGAGAAGAAAAGTGTATGTTTGTGTTAGGTATTTATTTTAAAAAGTTATCCTCTGGGCTGTACTGATGTGAAACAATAATCATCAGGTCTGCTTCTGACCTCTTAGATATATTGTTTTCTTTATAAACTGTCTCTGTAGTTGCATCAGTACAGTACTAAATATAACTTCTCTTCCTATTTTTGAAAGGTATTTTGGTTTGAAATATAGTCGCTCTAACTTGTGCTGAGTTCAGAAACAACTTGTTACAAAGTAAACACTATTTTACAGCTTTAAGGAGTAATTTTTCCTTGCATTTTCATGCTGTTTTAGTGTTTCATCAGAATATCAAAATACTGTGTTTTGTTTTTATTGGCAAGGATTGGAAAAAAGTATGGTAAACTCTGATGTAATGCAAGTATATTTGGTAAGAATAAATGCTTTAAAGAAGAATAAGGAGTAGAATTTTTCCTATTGCATAGTTTTCAAATATATTCTCAGTCAAGTTTATAAATGAACCACTGAAGTATTAAAAAGTTAAAATAAGATTTATATGTTGCATGGTGTGAAAATGAACAATTACTCTTCTAGCTGCTGTGATGCATAGGAATATTTGGAGGAGGCATTGCCCTGCAGTGACTGCAACCGGGGGCTTTTCTTGTCAGAAATTAAGACTTGGTGGGAAAGATACAGAGCTGCCAGTGCACAATTGAATAAAATGGTTAGAAAGAGGGCAGTTTCAAATGCCAGGAACACAGCGAGAAGATTGATCAATTGTATTTAAATCAAATAGAAAAGGCTAGGAGAAATATTTTGTTTCAAATCTGTTTTCCTTGGCTGCCTTCATTCTTTCCTTATCATAAATTGTTCTTCTGCCCTTTGTCATCTTTCCTCCCTGTGTTTCATCTCTACTGGATTTTTCTGTAGCTGGTTGATTATTCCCTTGCTAGCCAGTTGCCTATTTGGAAGCAACATTTGATTACTAAATTGTAATGGCTCAATCACAATACCTCTCCTATAAATCACGGGTAGCAACAAGCACAGTAAAATAATTCTTATTGGACAGCAAATGTTGAACATTCTGTTATGTCTGAACTCTAAATTTAATTTGGTGATATCATGAGTGTGCTATCACTGGGTATCAGGAAGTGTTGTTTGTTGAGTGGAGGGCATGAGAAGATGAGCAGTACCTCTGGTCTGAGACCTTTCAAGATCACCACGTTTAGTGGACTTCCTGTACCATTTGTTATCCTAACGTAGTATAAAGACGGACCAGATTTGCAATGAGTACATCTGGCATCGTCTACTCAGACCTGTCACCATACTGAGCTGGATTGCTCTCTGCCTCCCTTCTGTGGTTTTAAGAGAGACAGTTCCATGGATTGTGCATCAAATATGTATTTTGTTTGGCAGGACGAATGGGAGCTGGAGAAAAGAAAAATGCCTGCAACGTACAATATAGACGGCCCTTTGGCTGTGCAGTCCTCAGTATTGCAGATTTGCTGGCAGGAGATTCAAAGGATGACCTCGTCTTAAAAGTGTACATGTAAGGAATGCTTTTTTCTTAATTTTTAGAAGTATCTTAGAGTCAGTTTGCATCAGAAGCAGTGGTGTTAAATGCAGTGCGAGTAAATAGCCTTAGCTCCTTTCTGCTCCAAAAAAGTGTAGTACTAATTTCTATTTTTTTTTGTCACAGTTTGGGAATTTCGGCTAGTTCTACAGATGTGTTTATAAAGTGGGATAATATTAAAGGTAAAGGTTATATCCTTTTAGATCTTTGTGTATGTTTCAGCATTTTTCACATCCCTGTAAGAGCTTCTGGAGCTCTCTTTTTATGGCAACATGAAGTGCTTTTAGGACTTGTTTAAACATCTTGTGCTGCCTAGGCAGCAGTGGAAGTACTTTATAACTACAGAAAAAAGCAGGCAGAGTATCTTTTTGTGAAATGAAGCAATTATATAATGGGAATAACAAAAGTGTAAAAGGCAGTTAGTGCTGGAGAATGAAAACTCATAAATAGATTTTTAAAAGGAATGGTTCATTAAATAGTGGATTTTGGCTGATAGTAATTGGAAGAAAGTTCAATTTTCTAGTTGAAGTACTTTATAACTACAGAAAAAAGCAGGCAGAGTATCTTTTTGTGAAATGAAGCAATTATATAATGGGAATAACAAAAGTGTAAAAGGCAGTTAGTGCTGGAGAATGAAAACTCATAAATAGATTTTTAAAAGGAATGGTTCATTAAATAGTGGATTTTGGCTGATAGTAATTGGAAGAAAGTTCAATTTTCTAGTTGTAG